GTCGACCCACCCACCCAAGAGCTAAACTGATGATGGCTGCTTGTGTTGCAATCGAAACGTCGTATTCTATTAACGTCGTATTCTATTATTATTTAATTACATTTCTTTCTACGTGACTTTACCGAAAGAACCAAAGAGTAATTGCTGCAGCCACGAAAGCTTCGAATCTAGTTTGAGCTAAACTCTTTGTATTTTACCCAGGTTAGGCCCACCGAGCTGCAGAGCTATTTTTGAGAAGCGACCTGGCCATCACAAATGGATAAGCTCGACGAAGTGGCCTGTCACGTGGAAATGCACAGCAGGCAAATACTCGCAATGCGTGTTGAGTCTAAATGTGGAATGGGGGGGGGGGGTGGAAACCGGACGACCCGGAGAAAGATCCTACGCGACCGCGGGGAGAGAGAAACACGCAAACTCCCAAATATACAGCAGCAGGCGTGAGGGTCGAGATCGAACCCACGACCTCCTGTCTACCAGGCGAGGTAGTGAACATCTCCTAGCCACCGTGATGACGTAGACGCAAACTCCAAATATACAACAGGCGTCGTCAGGGTAGGGATCGAACCCACGACCTCCTGTGTACCAGGCGAGGTAGTTAACATCTCCTAGCCACCGTGATGATGATCATGATGAGAGACGCAAACTCCAAATATACAACAGGCATCGTCAGGGTGGGGATCGAACCCACGACCTCCTGTGTACCAGGCGAGGTAGTTAACATCTCATAGCCACCGTGGCGCCCAGGCTCGGAAATTCCGCCGAGCTTACGAGGCCTCGAGGGGGAAGCGGGGTGCATTCCGGATGGCCGCGTGGTTTTATATCGTGAGAAGCGTAATCGTCGACTTTTAATCGCGGAATCGTTACCCCCTCCTCCTCCCCCCATGTAACCCACCAGGCCGTTTCCACCACCGGCATTTCCTTTGAGAGAAACCCCGCACCCTGCTGATAGCAATCAATGAAGCGAAAACCCGGCTTAGTGTTTGCCTTGTTTAGCAGCGCTGCTGCTGCTGCTATGTACTGATTCGTCACGCCGTACCGGCTGATGGGATCAATGTTATTTCATTACTCTGGATTATGGCGAGTCGTTTATGCCACCCTCGATATGGCGGATTCGTGGGCAGCTCTAGAGGGGAGTTCAGACAAATCCGTTGTTGTGGCTCTACACTCCTTTGACGTTCCACAACTTCGCCATGCCGCAGCCATCGGCGTTGTGAAGTGTGGTCAAATAACAACCCCAGCCCGCCCCCCACCCCCCCGCGACACCACGGTGCGCGTGGCGTCGGGGGGCCCTCGTCGACACTTTACGTAGCCTAAGTGTGCACCTAGCCTGGCACAAGCTCTGTGGTGACGTCTCCGCCGTATATACTTTGTGTGTGTGTGTATGCATGCAACTCATTATGCATGCACGGGTACGGTATACCACTGTCGCACACCTCCGTCAATTGTAGAAGAAAATAAACAAGATAATTAACTCTGTTCATCAATCACTGCCGCATCTATACGGCAACGCTACATGACATTTAAGGTTAAGATTAGATAATAAAAAAAATTCTAAAAAATCATAAATCCCCCCCCCCCCATCTCCTCAAACCGTGTAGATAGCGCCCCCTCGGCCCCCCTCCCCCGCCCGGCCCCCCCCGCCTACCTGCCCCCCCCCCGCCTCCCTGCCCCCTGCCCCCCCCCGCCTCCCTGCCCCCCCCGCCTCCCTGCCCCCTGCCCCCCCCGCCTCCCTGCCCCCCCCGACTCCCTGTCCCCCCCCGACTCCCTGCCCCCTGCCCCCCCGCCTACCTGCCCCCCTCCGCCTCCCTGCCCCGCCTCCCTGCCCCCCATTATTCGCGGGTGGGCGTTAATCTCATGGAAGTGTGATCACCGTCCCCAGTTGGCAGAGGGCACACCACGCGCACCATTTGGACGAATCAATCTATGAATGAGTGAATGAATAGAGAGAGGGAGAGATCATGAGTGGGTGTGTGAATATGTGACAGAGTGAGTGAATGATCGAGTTAAGGTGGGTGGATGTGTGGGTGAGTGCGTGGATGCGTGAGAGGGGAGGGGGGTGAGTGAATAGGTGAGAAATTCCTCAAACCACGTCGAACAAATCCATATTTCTGAGTTTGTGAATTAATAATGAGCAAATGAGTGGCTGGCGGGCGAGTGAATATGTGAGTGAGTGAATGGATGAATGCGTGAGTGGGTCGGTTGGTGGGTGAGTGGTTGGGTAAGTGAGTGGACAGGGGAAGGTGTGGGCGACTACATGAATGGGTCTGTAGGTGGGTGGATGGGTGAGTGAATAGGTGAGTGGGTGAGTGAATAGATGGATGGGTGAGTTAATAAATGGGATGTTGGGTGTGTGGATGGATGAACGGGTGACTGAATAGGTTTGATGGGCGAGTGAGTGGGTGGATGTGTAGGTGGGTGGGTGGGTAGGTGGAGGAGTAGGTGGGTGGAGGAGTAGGTGGGTGGAGGAGTAGGTGGGTGGAGGAGTAGGTGGGTGGAGGAGTAGGTGGGTGGAGGAGTAGGTGGGTGGAGGAGTGGGTAGACCAACGAATAGGTGAGAGAATGAGCGGGTGAGTGCATAAGCGAGTCGACTCAAGTTATTGAACAATGGCATATTTATAATTTTGTAAATTAACCATGCATGTCCTCGTTCTCTGCACTATTGATGTTTCTATTTGGTTGTTGTTGTTGTGCTCCCACATCACTGAGCGTAAAATAGCCGGGAAACTGACGAAACGGGATCATCCGTTTACGAAATAAAGTAAACTTAAATACATGCGATGGCTGGTTGGCTGGCTGAGTGAGTGAAAGAGTCTCGTGAGTGAACGCGCTGATGAATGCGCGAGCGAGCGAGCGAGGAGGTGGGGCGGACGGGTGAGTCTACGATCAGTGAGCGGGCGGGCGGGTGGATGTGTGGATGTTTTAGATGGCTAAGTTGGGTGAGAGTGCGCGAGTGAACGTCGGTTGAGGTCGAGTTTACGTGACCCTCTCGAGCCACTAGAGGGCGCGACACCCACCACAATGTTTAATCGACGATTGAATCGACTCGCAATGTAGGGTCGGGGGGGGGAGATGGTGGTGGGGGGCGTCGTAAGAACGAGAGTGGGGACGACCACCTTGGAGATGGAGCGATGGAATCGGCAGAGTGCGCGCCACGGATTGTTTGCATCGTAAAAGGCCGCGATAGTCGGCGTCGACATGGGAGGTGGATACACGTTCATTGATCAGGGGGTAGATCATCGCTGACGATGACGATTCCAGACAGTGCACCTATTCACTGGCCCACTCACACATTCATCCATCCCCCAAATCCCCCGTGCCCCCAATGCCCCTCCCCCCCGTGCCCCTTGCGCGACTTCTCGCATCCTTGCTGATCACGTGGCGTGTCTCAGCACAGATGTGCGCGGAGCTGATGTTGTGACGTCGGCAAAAAAAACATCTGGCGACGTTTGGTGGGGGGCCTTGGGGGTCATTGGGGGTGGCGGGGGGGGGGGGGGTGATTTGAGGGTGCTGATGGAGGGGGGCGACGACATGACGAGGGTGATGGGGGTGGTTAGGGTGCGGTGGTGTGCGTACATACGTGTAAGGATCAGGCTTGTGGGTCGAGGGAGGATGGGCGTGCGAGTGAGTGAAGGATGGAGTGAGAGGGGGAAGAAGGATGGATGAAGGAGTGAAGGGAGAGAGGGAGGGATGAAAGCGAATAGGAGGGACGGCGGAGGGAGTAGGATGGCGAGGGAGGATGGAAGGAGGGAGCAAGAGATGGAGGATGATGATGGTAGGGACAGAGAGACGAGGAGGGAGCTGGTGGGATGAAAGGATCGAGTGAGAACGAGAGATGGACGGGGGGGGTGGGGGTCGAGTTTGAGAAGAGGTGTGGAGAGAGGGAGATACGAAAGAGGCAGTGGAGAACGATGGAGGGATTGAAGGATAACAGTGGGAGGGAAGAATGGAAGGGGGGTAGGGGGGGGGGGAGAAAAGGAGAGAGGGAGCATGGAGGGATGACGGCAGTAGGAAGGGCGAAGAGGAAGGATGGAGAGTGGGAGAGAGAATAGCGGGAAGATGAAGAGAGGGGGAGGGAGAAGGGACACAGGGTGGGAGGACACAGGGAGTCTGGGCTGTGCGGGGAGAGGGAGGGGAGAGGGGGAGAGAGCCGCGCGCGTGGATTCTCTCTCATTCTCTCCCCTCCCATCGCTCAGTCTCTTCCTCCTTATCTCGCGCGCTCCGCTCCCTCGCGTCTCGCCGTCTTGTTTACGCGTGCGAGCTGCGCGCTCACCGCCGCCACCACCGCCATCGCCGCCACCATCGCTACCACCACCACCACCACCATCGCCACCACAGTCACCACCAACCACCACCGTCGTCACCACAATCGAGCCGCTGCTGCTTCATTCATTCAGCTCCAGAGCGGCCGCGACTGACGGCGAACAAGCGACTGTAGCGCTGTCGCTGCTGTTAAACCTCTTTCACCTCTGCCTCATCCCCAACATCATCATCATTGTCGTCATCACCATCACTATCTCGCGAATCGCTGTCATCTCCCCGACCGCTCTGTAAGCAGAACGCAGCCTTGACTTGACATTTTTATCAGCGACTGATCAACACAGCAGCAGCAACAGCAACCCATTCTCATCTGCCTCCTCATCATCATCCACGTTGTCACCATCATCATCATCGGCATCGGTTGACCAGTTCACCAAGACGAGGAATAATCTGTCCACTCAACCGACGACTTAACCACCCATCCACTCACTTTAACTACCATCCACTCAACCACTCACCATTCATCCATTTGTCCAGCCACCTACCCAACCACTCAATCATTTTTCCACCTAAACAAACACCCACCCACCAAACCACCTACCCACCCACTTATCCATTCACCCACACACTCAACCATCCACCCACCCACTCAACCACCCACCCACTCAACCACCCACCCACTCAACCAACCACTCAACCATCCACCCACCCAACCATCCACATAAACACCAATCCAACCATCCCCCTACCCACCCAACCCCTACCCACCGACCCATCATATATTCACCCACCCATTCATTCATCCTGCGAACGGTGGCTGTTACCGGTTAGACCGGACGCGGCGGTCAAAAACACCGGCGCGGCGCCGCTCTCCGCACTCGGCTTCCCCCCTCCTCCCCCAACGCATTTGCTTCCCAGCGGCCCCCAGTGAGTAATCTCGGGGCTCCCAGAGGCCCTCCTCCTCCTGCCGCTGCTCAGGGACACCCCCTCTCTCAACCCGGCTCGGGGACGCGGCGAGAGGAGGGGACATGCCGCGCGGGACGACGCCATGAGGCTCAGGAATGGAACGGTGGCAACGTTCCTGGTCCTGGCGACCTTCGTGTCGGTGTCTCTCTACACGACGTGGCAGACGCAGAAAGGTGAGAGTCGGCGGGGATTTGGTGGCGGTGGACGGGAGCGTGGTGGGCTGCCGACGCTCTGCGCCCTGCGAGCGAAGCCGCGTGGGTCGCAAACTCGGACGCGCTCTGTGACGGCACGGCCAGATGTTGAAAGCGAAATGATGCGACGACGTCGACGCCGCCGCTGCTGCTGCTGCTGGCAGTGGCCCCCAAACACGATTGACAACAAATAATTAACGGAAAACAATCGACGACAAACTCAACACGTTCGTCAATAACTAAACCGTGCGCAGTGGCTCTGACGTTAAAAAAATATATATTATAGGCGACGCCTCGTTTCAATGACGGCTCTTCTTCGTAGCACACAGAGATGCCATGCGGAGAGAGTGGATAATGCAACTTGGAGAACTGCACCGTGAGTCCTGACGACATCGCTCCGACTTTGTGCGAATGGTTCCCTTATGCTTTTGGTTTCTTTCGGTAAAGTCACGTAGGTATAACAAACCAAAGGGTATGGATTCCTGCAGTCACGAAAGCTTCAAATCAAGATTGGTTCCCTTATTAGCTGTATGCTCACCTTTATGTCCACCTGTAGCTCCACCTGCCGGGATATCCCCTCGCCATACCAGCTAACCGCTCACCTCATCGTCTGCCTACTCACTCGCAACCCGCCTATCAAAATCGTCGACCGCATCAACTATCTCTCAAATGGGCCATCCACTCAATTCACCTAATCACCTACCGACTCGCCTAATCACCTACCCACACACTCGGCCACATGCCAACACAAAACCGCTTCGCCATCCATCAAGGCACCCACCTACCCACTCACTCACTCATCCACCAATGCGTTAAACACGCATCCTATTTACCGAGCCATGCAACCACCCAGCCGCATTCAAAACCGCTTACCCACTCGTCCACCTTACACCGTCCACCTACAACCATCTCAGATTGTAAATGTTGTGGCTTTGCTCTCCAACACACCGGTGTAGCTGTCCTAGCAACGAATTGGCACGTTCTGTGTACGTGACAAACCTTACTAATTGGCTGTCTCGGGTGATGGTGGATTTAACGACAAATGAATATATGTACGCGATCTAACCCAAAAAAAAACCTATACTATGGATGACATTGGTTGCGAAAGCCTACGTGTTAAACTCGCCTACAACCACGAACACACCAATCGCACTTTCCACTCACGCACTCTTTATCACAGCTCCCCACCACACACACTGTAACCGCTCACCTGCTCAGCACACCTGAAATCGCACGCACGCACACAACCACACTAACCCGCCACACAAAACAGACTGATAACGATCACCCATACAGCCTTTTTTTTGCAACTACTGTACGGCGAGGGAGCATCTATTTTCAGGCTTGTAACGGCGCACGATGTGGTACTTGTGAAGGGGGGTACGCCTGGCCGCCTTTGTCTCCTCAACCAGCGCGCGTGTTCACACACTGCACCAGGTATTAATGTTTCGGCCGAGTCGACCTAGGGGACGCTCACGACCGGTTCAGACGTCAATTGTCACCTGATGATAGTCGTGGCCGGGAATGGAGCTCCGGGTAGTCGGGTTCGTAGCACACACACACACACACCACTCACCCCCACGTGTCCCACCCCACTCACCCCCACGTGTCCCACCCTCCACCGACGCAGCGAACTCCAGATTCGAATCCGTGCCACGGGCATGCGCGCCGTGTCCCTTGGTCCGCTGTGCGATGTCCCTTGGTCCGCTGTGCGGCGCGTGGTGGGGTGATTTGCAACGCCACGCGATCGAGTTGGAATAGAGTTGTTCGCTTTAGGGGTTCTCTCTCTCTCTCCCATTGTGTGCGCGCGCGTGTCTGTGTCCGTGGGGAGCAGTGGCGCAGCGGCTATCGCACTGCAATGCGAACCCGGCGACCCGTTTTTTGATTCCCGCTCACGGCTAACACCAGTGACGATTATCTGAACTGGTTCTGGGCCTCCCCTCGGTCGACTCTGCCTTAAATGAGTACCTGGTGCGGTGTGTTTACGACATCGGCACTAGGGAGACAAAGGCTGCCGGGCGTGGTGCTAGTCGCCCACCTCGTGTGCCGTGCCGACCTTCGTAGGTGCTACTCGCTAACGGCACTTGCTCCAAAAGTCTGCCAAGGCGCTTTAAGATGCGCTTCTGCAAGCCGTCTGGAACGCTCCTCCTGCCGATGTTACGAAGTCACTGGAGCTTTGCGCTTTAAACGCATCCAGATTGAACAATAATTTATTTAGAATAGTTTTTGTGTATTAGTTTGTTGTCCTTCACCCGCACCTCCCATTAGCCACGGTAGATAGGCTACGCACGTTACGAAAGAAGTTCACCAACATACGGGGCGGCCCCAATCTTTGTGTTTGTCTTGTGACTGTTTCTTTAAATTGCCGACCCTTTGGCCTTTTTTTTTAATTGGGGAAGCTCCGAGCAACGAGCAGATCCGATAAGAAAAAAACTCAAACAAACCAACAGCCAAAATTAGCCTCGCGCTCTGCGGAGGTGTCGTGGGTCGTATCGGTTGCCGCAATGGACTTTCAAAAAGTGCCACGAGCTTATCATTCGCATCTGACTTGCCAGGCTAGGTGCACGTGAGGTGTCGAAAGCTCGGCAGCAGGTTATGAGACAGACCCAGGTGGTATGGGTCGACTGAGATGACCAGCATATGCGCCAGCTGTGTTCACCACTGTGACACCTGACGACGTTATACCACGCGTCACTTGTATGTGGCAGTTCGTATGGCAGTGCAGTGGGTGATGCACAGAAGTTACGAAGCCCGGCAAACCGAGTTCGATTCCCGGCCACGGCTAACGTCGGTGGCGATTCACTAAATCCTGGCTTCCCCGAAGTCCGAGCTTCCCCTAGATCGACTCGGCCTTAAATTAGCAATATATGCAGTGTGTAAACATCAGTGTGTACGGGAGAGACAAAGGTGGCCGGGGCGTGGTGCTGAACATGCACCACTCCCCAGCTCGTGTGCCGTGTCGGCTTTTTCATAGGTGCTCGCTAACATCGCTCGTCCCAACAGCTTGCATAGACCGGCGTCTGTCTGTCTCGTATCACTTATGTATGTTGAACCCTGGTAATCGGAGGTGCGGGGGAAGGACGGCAACCTAAACGAAAAAAAAGAACTTCTAAAGAAATGCGTTTGTCAATCTAGATTATTTTAAAGTGCATAGCTCCCAGTAGCTTCCTAATGTCGGCGGGAAGAGTGTTCCAGACGGCTGCAGAAGTGCGTCTGAAAAGAGCGTGATGCAGCCTTGACAGACTGTTTGGGGGCAAGTGCTGTTAGCGAGTAGCACCTGACGAAGACCGTCACGGCACAACAGAAATCGCATAACTTTTCAAATAACGTTGTTGACACTTCTCCCATTCCTTCCCCAAACACAGGGCATGCAGGTGTGAAACTTAATCCAGCTACGTAGGGTTCACTGCTGCGTTTCTGTTGGGTAAATCCAGAGCTATAGGGGACTAGACTCGCACTCTCTCACACTCTCAATACAGCCTCATACAAAAGCAAAAGCCCCCCCCGCCCCTCCATGTAGCCAACACCGGCTGCTGTTGGGGCATGTGCTGTTAGCGAGCAAGTGCTGTTAGCGAGCGCCACACCTACTTGCTCGCACGCTGTACAAATTGTAATGTCGGACGTCGTCACTCGACATGATAATCGGCTTCGTTGTTGAGAATTTCATTAACCAAATTGATAAGCCGATGATACGCCCTCCCCCCTTTCATATACCTGTCCACATAAAACATCACGATATTCCTAACGCAACCCATCGACTCCACAGCTCTCATTATGGAAACAAATAACTTCAGAAGTATTGACTCTCTAGAAACTAAACTGAACAAATTCTATTTTACCAGGTAAGGCCCACTGCGCTATGTAGCTCTTTTTCGGAAGCGATTTGGCCACAATTGATAGCTCAGCGAAGTGGCTTATGTGTAAATGTATAGCAGCCAACTACTCTAAACGCACGTTGATTCTAAATGTAGAGGGACAAACCAGAGGAGCCTGAGAAAAATCCATACGGCCACGGGGAGAGAAACACCGCAAACTTCAAATATACAGGCGTCGGTGTCGGGGATCGAACCCACGACATCCTGTGCACCAGGCGAGGTAGTTAACATCTCGCCAACGCAGCGCCCAAGCAAAAACCTTGTGCCGGTTTCAACATAAATGGTCTCATCAGTGGAGTCATATATCGTACAAGGCTATCTCCGCTGTGTGTCTCCTCTCCTCCCGTGTTTCCCCACCACCCAGATTCACGTCGACCAGTCCCAGTGCTAGTCCCCCTGTCCGAGGTCACCCCAGCCTTCAATGAGTACTTGGCGGCGGGGACTGCCACGACAGTCTGTTAAGGCTGTACGTGGGGGATTTTTGTTATGTTTTTGTGTGTGTTAATGTGTGCTTGAGGTGGGTGCGAGGTTTTTTCTTTCTTCCGAGGTTGTATACGTGCGAGTACGGTACGTGTGTGTTTGTGCAACTTTGTCGTCGTGTGGGTGGAGAGATTATGAAGGAGATGAGAAAGCATGAAACAGGGAACACGTGTACATCGCTAGAGGTCATATTTGCTTTTTAGAAAAACACACCACAGTGGTGAGGGATGATGTACGTTGAACTTCTGTGGCACCGTATGTAGCCAACCCTGCTAATGGGAGGTGCGGTGGAATGACAACAAACTAAACACAAAAAGCAGGTCTAAAGAAAAGCGTTTTCAATCTAAATGATTTAAAAGTACATGCAGTGAGGGAAAAAAGTATTTGATCCCCTTCTGATTTTGTACGTTTGCCCACTGACAAAGAAATAATCAGTCTATAATTTTAATGGTAGGTTTATTTGAACAGTGAGAGACAGAATAACAACAAGAAAATCCAGAAAAACGCATATCAAAAATGTTATAAATTGATTTGCATTTTACTGAGGGAAATAAGTATTTGACCCTCTCTCAATCAGAAAGATTTCTGGCTCCCAAGTGTCTTTTATACAAGTAACGAGCTGAGATT